TCTTTGTTACGTCTGCAAGAAAGGTGAAATACTCGTGTACGTTCAAAAATTGTACACAGTTGACTTTCCTTCCATTATTTCCTCAAGGAAATGTAATAAATTTGCGATGTGTACTGCCGTCCTTGCGATTTTTTGATTTCGTATGTTGGAAGGGCGAATGTTCTCAAACATGCGTACACAAAACACAAGGATAACATGAGTTGTTTTGAAAAAACGAAAAATTTAATTTTCTTCGGAACAAAGGACAAAAATTATTAATGAGAATGTCTGTCTCTGCCTTATGGACAAACTGCCACGAATGCATCGGATCACGCTGCAGCTTTTTTAGAAAAATGTTTCCTATAGTGAAACCGCTAAGAAATACTCAGGTGCAAGAATCAAAACAGGTGCAATTGTTAAAGAATGGGTTGAAAAATAAATCTTCAGTATTGATTGCATTAAAAACACTCCGGTCTGCCTCTCTACTATGGAAGCAATAATACCGATCAAAACTGTATCCAATTGTGTTTCTTTTTTTGACCAGATCTTCAGAAATGAGTTCAGTTTACTTTATGTTCCCACTTTAGAAGGACATTGACAGGCTTTAATATAGCACAACTATTATTAAAACTTTAAAAAAACTGCGGCACTCTGGATAATTGCTTAGCACTTGGTGTCGATAAGGCCCAGTATGGTAGGTTTGGAAGGCTGGTGTTGCAGGCATCTTAAGAAAGGAAAATTCAGCTTTGTCAGATTATGAGGTGCACCTGTCCTCTAAAAATTAGCAGCTGAAAAAAGGGCAACTTCTACCAATAAATGTGGGAAACACATGTTGATATTTATTTTATCTTGAAAGGAGTTAAAAGAAGAAAAATTGAACATTCCAACAGCTGCAACAGTTACAATTAGAAAATTGGGTGAAGTTATAAAATCAGCTACGATTGACACCCAGTGGGTTTAATTGCAAAACAAAGGTGTGATGGATTAAAATATAGTGAATGTCTAGAATTGTGTGGCCATCTTGACAGTTCCCTTAGTAATGCAGAGTGTGAGAGGATCCGTGTGTTGCAAAAACGAGGATAAATTAGATAATATTAGAGATGGCACATTAGAAAAACTTTTATTAGCGAAAGCAGGCTACGTGGCAATTGCTGTGCACAATAATGTTGAAGTTTCTTTCTTAAGAAAGCAAAATCGGCCACTGTTTATAACATTGTACGAAAACTGATTAAAGGTCTTCTTTGTTTTTTTTCCTTAAACGATGCGTTGTAATAAAATTTTTTATGTGTAAGGTATTTTTGTATTGCTGCATTAAAATTGTTAACTACTTAAAGTTAATTCATTATTAAACTATTTGTTCATTTAAAAATCTTTAACATTGTGAAAAATCTCCTGATTTCTTAAAAATCTCTATTTTTGGGTGTCATGGTTGCAAGTATGTGATAGATCCAATAAGACTTTCACACTATGAATCAAAAGTTTTCGCAGTCTGCAACAGATCAGCGTGACTAGCTTGCTGATGTGGGGGGTGCTCTAAAATATCAAAAAACCTGTTTGCCTAATAAAGGTACTGGTTTTTGGCTTGTACTTGTATCAAAGTGTGTTGTAAAAATACAAAACTACAAATTAAGTACAATCTTACAAAATTAAAATTTCAAGACAAATAAGTGTAGGATCCAGTCTTTTAAAATTTAGAAACGAGAAATGAATATTACTTACAACAAAAGAAAAAAAATTTGATGAAAATTTTCTATTATATACAAATTTAATGCAATTTTCATGTTTTAAGTGTTTTTTAGGGAAGCATTTAAAATATAAAAAGTTTGTAACACATCATTCAAACACACAAATTTCAAACGTTTCACTATTATTAAGACATTTAAAATTTACTTATTCTTTACAAAACCTGAAGACTCCACAACTTTCTCTAAATACCAGCATATCCGTTACATTGGTTTTTCAGTTGAGGGAACAGGTGTTTATTCTTCACCAGAGGGCAAAAGATTTGCTATATTAGCAGGTATTGTAGAAAAGGCCTCCATTCCTTTGATAGAGGCAACTGGCCTTTTTCAGACTGTTGTCATTCCATTATAAAAATTAAAAACACACTCTTTTTATGAAAAATAAAAATACTTAGATTTTATTTTTTTAAATGTATTTTTTCATAAGGTGAGAGCCTTCAACATTATCTTGAAAACAGTAAGAAATACCTTCAATTAAAAATTTCAAACAATAGTTTCATTCTTAAAATATAGTAAAAAATTAAAAAATATAAATTCAAAGAAAGTTAAACAATAGTACGAAAATCTTATTCGCATTAGGAACCTTCCCTAAGTAAAACCTTCAAATTCTTTATCTAATTTTTATCAAATTCAATAATTTTTTCCCCAATTCAAAAACGCAAAACTACATTTTAAATAAATCATAAATTTTTGAATTATTAACTTTGATCTAAAAATGATTTAAGCAAAATATTACCATTAATAAATCATAAAACAATGTAATTACTTAGAAATGCAAAATTACTTATAAGGCAAAGTCATTTAAAAATGCAATTTACTCTATTTGGAACTTCATACCACTTGAAAAACGCATATTCGTATCCGAGGAAAAGCACGGGGAAGATGCTACGCTCTGTAACTGACCTTGACCCGCTGTAGACGATGAAAAGTTAAATGAGCATTAAATAATCTACAGCAGCTTTTTCCCACACAGAAAATCCTGTCGACTAAATGAATAACTGTGATATTTCGGCATCAAAGTTCAGGCATGGTTTTTGCAGAGTGGTAACAGGGTTCGTAGCGGTCCTTACAAGTGCTTATATTTGAACAAATATAAAGGCCGTATAGGTACTACTTTTTCTTTAAAGCCCTTTTTTTTTGGTGTGTTTTTTAGTGCTTATTTTTTGCTTTTAGTGCTTTTTTTTTTTTTTTTTTTTTTTTTAATGAACGCGCATTTTTTCCCTGTACCAAAGCCGAAGCTAAGTAAACCACTTTTCTTCCTTATATGCAACGTTAGATGGTGAAACATACTCCCGAAATTGCTTTTCCCCCTTTTCTCTGCATTAACGTAACCTATGGTGCACGTCATTCTATTGGTCAAAGAATTACGAAAACGGTAGAAAATTCCGATACATTCGGTAATATTTTCCTCCCACCCAAATATTACACACGTTTGAATTTCTATCAAGATTTGCATTCTCGTTCAGCATGGTCAGTTCATATTCGTGTTTGTTATGATCGTTATGCTTATATTATGAGCATATATGCATGAATATTTATAATAATATAGTTGCAGTAACTGCTGGGTAGAAATAAATTTCCCAAAAGGGTTTTTTACACAGATTAGCTTTCTAAGAATATATTCGGAATGGTAAATAAAAGGAAAGTAACCGAATAGTCAAATTAATTTTTTTCTTTTTTTTCCTCATTTATATACAGTACGGAAGTTGGGACCCTTCCTTTCTCGAAAAATCTCGAAATGAGCGCGACTTTTTTTGTCACTGTCATCTGGATTGAATCGGACTGAAAGTTTTGCGGTTCCCCAACTAAGTGAGATGATCTATTCGGAAATTAACGCAGTTGTTAAATTAAACAACCATACCAGATTGCAGTCTCTTCTTTCCTTATTTAGTTTTATTTCCGAAACGCAGCTGTTGATTCCAATAGCGTAATATCATGTGGGAAGAATTACGCCACACGATTGCCAATAACGTTTGTGGTATTTTGCAGAGATAATTTTGATGTCAGTCCGATATTGTTAATAAACTTAAAAGGTTTTACTGTGCTCTAGCAAATATTCTCGGTTCGTTGTCTAGTTTATATGATGCACTATCGAATGTCAATAATTATTAGTAAGAATCTAAAGAACGAACAATCTCCCCCCTCTCTTTTTCAGTTCTATACGGAAATTCGCAATTCCATTATGCGGGTATTAACTTTTACTTAAAGGTGACGCATGAAGCAATTCCCGTCTTGATTTCGAAATGGCTCTTTTTTACTTATTCTTTGCTTGATATATGTTAAGGGGAAATGTTATGCAATGAAAATTAGAAATGTTCAGAATTTTAATTTAGTTTTATTAAAGATAATATGAGTGGAAAAACCATTGTACTTTATTAGGTGCCACGAATACATTATATGTTTTTATATTATTTCATATTTTGAACTGAAATTTCAATGCTCATTCTCTTAATAAAATTGCATGCTCAGGTCTTAAATTACAAGCCTATTTTTCTTTTAAGGTTATGCATGTGTATATAATGTTTGACAGTGTTATTTTTGCTTAAAATGTGCTTTAGGTTGCTTATTTTTTTAACTAAAATTGGTGAACTGGGTAGGCGAGCAAACGAAGAGGCAAGTTTATTTAGCTTAATGGGCACCTTTCTTCCATAGCTTTAATTCAATTTTCACCGTAGATCATGCTTTACTTCAAATAAGTTCTCCAAGTTACATATTCAATAGTGGTTTAAACTAAGTACGATTGAATTTAAACTTTATCATTACTATCTAACAGGAAGATAGATCAACAGCAGCGAGAGTATACACAGGAGGAGGCGGCTTCTGAGGAATGGCACCATTCATTATGAAGTGCGTTACATAATAGGCTCAATTCTAGAAGGACTGGTTAGGGGAAGATCCGAATTGCAGAAAGTTAATTAAAGGTTGCGTGTTCGTGAAGAGCAAAGCCATCACATTTTTTTATATTTTACATATATTAATGTATAATAGTGCTATTGTCTTTTTATGTGTGTGTTTTGGTGTCCTGATGTGTAATAAATATATGGTTATAATGACGAAGTGTGTGAAGAATATTTTCCTGCTGTGGTGAATGTTTCTTAAAAAACGAACCAGCCTCATGCTTGGAATGGCACAAGATTACACATAATATATTTATTTGTGCATGAATTCTTAAATTTTGATAATTTTTTTATTACCTGTGTAACTCATTGTAAGAGTTAATTTGTTTTTAAAGCTTCTATTTTATTTTATTTTAATATACATTTTTTGAATGTTTCTTAGGAAAAGTATGCATTGGCCCAAAAAGAAAAAGAACTGGAAAAGCTAAAGAAAAAGTTGGAGGAATTAAAGTTAATTTATGATCAAGATAACGAAGCCATAACAGCAGCTGAAAATCACTTTCATGCTGTTAATGCAGGTCTTAGTGATGCTAATGGTGAAGAAGCAAGTTTGGCTGCTCAGCTTATTGGTAAGAAAAATTCTGATGATTAATTTTAATAAGAATTGCTACATTGAAAACCTGGTGATGCATATTTTAATATTTCTAATCTGTTTTTAAGACTGTTTTATGTGGATTACTTTACTAAACTAATCTGTAAGAATTAACAGTGACTAGAAGTGCCAGATTGGATCTTTCTAAAGTCAAATTTCAGAAATATGGCCATTTTTTCTGTTTCTTATTTAGATGCTATCAAAGAAACTATTGCATCTTTTATTTATTTCTTAGTAGATCTTTGCTGTTAATTTTTCTTTCATATGGCTTTTTGGTTATATTTAGAATCTTACGTAAAAATCACTTGTAATTTTTATAATTTTCATACAAATTGGTCATTTGCATGTGAAAATATTTTTACCTCCAGAATGAAGATTTTGTTTTGTTTCTTCAGTTGCTAGTTTTTTGATTACGTGAAAAGGATTATTACAAAATCAAACTTCTACCTGCAGTATGCTTGTAACTCCATTGTATGGTAGAATCTTATTAAAATGATGTCTAACATTCAAAAAAATTTTGGTCTTACTTGAAAGTAGTGAAACCATGAAAAGTCAAAATCATTCAAAATTTTAGTGAGTTTTATTATTAGTGATGTTCAGTATTGTTATCTAATTACATATTCCAAGAAATACAAGTCACTCTAACAAAAAAGGCCTTGAAGATAAAAACTTAACTCTAAAAGAAGCCCATCTTCAGTATTGCCAAAATTTTTGAACTACATTAGTAGGGGAAGAATCGAAAAATAGCAAAGGATGGCACATAATGTCAGAGATTTTGTGATGCCACTGGACATGAGTTCACACTTACATGACCTCTAACATTATCAGAAAATCAGTCTGCTTAGTTTCCATAACCTACAGCCTGTAATTAGTTTCTTGGTCATTTTATAGTGTACTCTAGTTTTGACAAAAATCTTAAAATCATATTGCTATTTATCCATTGTTTAAATTCCCATTCCTTCTTTAAATTAATTATCAAGTAATTTAGGCTGTTATTTTTTGTTTAATTTTTTCGTACTTGTTGTTGGATGTTTCCTCAGGTTTGAGTTTTTAACCCTTTCAAGATGGGCATCCCATACATGCCTTCCCTAAGAACGTCTCTTACAGCTGGGTGTCCCATCCACGCATCACTAGAGATTGCATTCAGAGGACGGGGGATTGTACACGCATAAGCTGGAACGTTTTTCTGAAGGCCACTAGATGGCATCCTATGTCCATTACTTTTGAACAGTTTTAGTTTCCTGACCTTGAGTTTGATATATGTATATTGCCTGACTTTGGTATTTTACTCATCAAGTGTTGCGAGGGTAGGGGGAGGGAAAGCATAAACAGAGGTGGGCTCTTTAAATCGCTGTGCGCTAATGAAAACATTCTGGTGTCTGATTTATATCCAGTTCCTTTTTTTATTCTATTTTTTCCCTCTACAGTGTACGGTCTTTTAGGGCTACTGCGTGAAGTTCTTTTACGTTTTGCATTGCCTTCAGATATATTACCGTTTCTTCTCTTTTTATTTAGGAAAGCCTCACCTCCAGTCAGGCGCTATTTATCAGAGAAAGAATACCCTCGTATGGTTAGTGAACCATTTACTAACGCAAATGAGAGTGATTTACTAACGCAAATGAGAACGAGAGTGAAATGAGAGTTCATTTTCTAAAGAGTTAGAAAGTGATATTTCTCGAGATTTACCACATTCGTCTTCTTTTAAATTTTGTACTTCTTATGTAAATAGTCTTTATTATGTTGTTATTAATTTTAAACTTATTGATGGGTTTTTATCAATTAAAACTGTGAAATAATTTGAGTAGCACTTCCGAAAATTATTTTACAAGATAAGCAATTTTTAAAGTATATTTTCATGTAAAATAAAGAAAAAAACGTTATTAAGTACTAATTTTAACATAAATAAGAGCTCAATTAATAATCTAAAATGATACTAAAAATTACGATGCTAGAAGCGAAACTTTTTTTTTTTTTAAAAATAAAATTAGGCTTAGCGATGCAAAACCTCTGTCCTGTATGGTCACTGCCTTCGATTCCCTTCTGTCCCGCAGGAATGTCTTAAACAAAGGTGCGCTGTCGCGAAAAGGTTAATGCTGTTATGCTAATTTATTTGGAGTTGCCCATTTAGTTTTTTCAGTTCATTGTTTCTTAATTTATTTTAATTAATTGTTAATGCTTTACAATTAGTTTTTAGTTCTGATTGATAAACTTATTTCCATTCTTCAAATTCTGATTTTTAATGAAAGTTATGATGGTTCACTCTCAAATTTGTCTGTACTGTTATTTAGAAATCTGATGCTACTTTAATTTTTTAGTTTCTAGAGCTTCAACTCTACTGGTATTTTGTTAAAACCCATATTTTCTTTTTTTTTTCCTCTCTCATCTCTCCCATTTTAATAGCATACACTTAAATGTAGTAACATCTGTAGACTCATCCAATATTAGAGAAAGCAATGATTTATTCATTTCAATTTCTATGAACAGTTCAGGTGAAATGACTTTCATTATAAATGCTCTATTTTATCTTTTGTTAACGTAAAATCTTAGATGATGAATTTGGTGGCATTGCTTTCTTAAAAGTTTAGCTCAAATGGTCTATGGATTACTGTAAAGGCTCTTATTTTTGCAAGGCTTTAATATTTGCGATTTTCGCAAACCCGTCATAATCGCGAAAATTTAAGCCTCGCGAAATACTTTTTTTTTCCACCTCAAATAATAAAAAAATCAGAAATTTTTCACTTACGCAAAATTTAATGATTTATTGCACAATTACAAGCTTTTTCTTGACAACTTCCTTTCTTATAACTATTTTTTTGAATAATATACAACTATATTTCTCGAATATAAAACAATAAAATTATAGAAGCCTCATTCACTTAAACACTATTTAATCAGCTTCTTGAAGCCATTCAAAATTATCTCATGTTGGCTTCAATACCGTTAATACGAGCCAAGCAAGAGGTGAATCGTTTTATTCGTGAATTCAGAAGTCATAATTCTTTTTTTTCCTCTAAATTGAAGCTCATTAGAATCCCACTCAATAAACTCATTCTGAGCAATCTTAACTCGTTAATTAGACGGGAACCGGGGGGGGAGAACTTTTTCGGCAGATGAAGGTTTCTTAAAATGCGTTAGCAACGAGTTACTGTGGAATTTTTCAACTTTACATAGGTACTTTTAAAATTTTTCAACTTTCGGTTCTATTCAGATAAAATTCGCGAAATTTCCAACTCGCGAAATCACCGATATATTCATTTTCACGAAAATTACAGCCCGCAAAAATAAAGGCCTTTACGGTATTTGGATATATGGCAAGCAACAAATACAGAAAGTTTCAATTCAGACAATTTAGGTTGTTCTGTTTTTAAAATGCATTTTTAACACTATTATGAGGCAAGATTTGTTGAAAGTTTTGGTTATGCTCTAAAGAATGATTATGCTTCATTAAATCAGTTTCATATGTTGTCAGTTCATGTTTATATAGTGTGCAATAAGCTGTTCTCTTGTCTGTTTTCATTCTTTTAAGCCAGTTTTCAAACTTGGATATTTTAAGTGAAGCATTTTGAAGTTATGCTGAATTTTTTTTACGTTGCTCGTAATTGGCTCTTTAGTTAACACAGCAGCTATAATCTTAAACTTTTCAAGCATACTCACAGATCACCAAAGTATTATAAAGAAATCAATCAGACTCATGAAAACTTCAGAGTACATGCACTGTGATCATCATATAGCGTTTTTATTTAAGCCTAAATAAGTTATAATTTTTTCCATAAATTAATTTTAATAAATGCATTATTTTAACACATGCATTTAATATATATTAATTTAATTTTTTTTTTAAGTAGCAAAAGCTAGCACAAGAGAATGCTAGAGAAGTAGAAAATTTTCAAAATCACATAGGTATAAATTTTTGTAGCACAGGTTTGTCAAAAATAGTAAATTTATGAAAAATGACATGATCTAGCAGCACTGCCTGTTTTAGAAATTTTTAGAGGTACCGAGTTGCGGGCACCTTATTTGCCTGTCCTTTCCATTCATAATTATAATAGAAACTTACTGCCAAAAACTTATTTTTCTTCATTTTTAGAAAAACTGTGAAATGTTTCCTGTATTCGTATGCTTTTTATTAAACTGAATAATTGTGTATTCGTAGCATTAGTAGAAAAAGAAGGTTTTTGTCCAGATTCTATCTTTGATGTTTTCTTAGATGCACCATATTTGCACAATTCTGCAGAAAGCAAATGATTCTCTGTTTGTTCTCCTCCGACAAAAATTACTTACCCAAACCGTCACCAGCTTTCACTGTCTTGCCAGTTTGGGAGGTAGCCATTTACCTTAATGCTAAATGGACTTAACCTGTAACCCTGTTCAGCAATACTTCACTCTATTGAGGCCTTTCATGGTACATTATACAAGAGATACTACAATTTACATATAATTTCACTAAAATTATCTACATATATATAAAACTTGTAACATTGTCCACTTCCTAAGGCCTGCACATCCTGGTTAAAGCAATTCCTGGACATGAAACCATACTTAAATTACGGAAAACAAGCGTAATACTGAAACAGTAATTTCAACAAATCAAATACTAAATCAGTAAATACACGAATTTAAAAATCTATATAAACATAGGACCATGGTCTTAGTATACTATTTACATTATATACAGCATGGGAACTATTATTATATACAGCATGGCACTGTTCATAATAAAAACCTAGGCTGTCGTAATGAATGACTTTAGTCTTGAATTTGATGACTTACGGAACAAACTTCGATGTTGTTAAGCCTCAAAGACTGTGGAAGGGTCGTTCCAGGGTGAATGTAGTTTAGGAGAAAGTTTTTCTGTCGAATAAGATTCCATAAACACACCTTGTCTCTTTCTTTCAATCGATGTCCTGTTCCTCTTGTGCCGTATCAGGTCTTCATCTTCTCAGTTGGCAAGTTGACTCACTTTTGTGCCAAAATTGTGCATTACTTCAAACCATATCTGGGGATCCTGAATATATTCCTCAGGCAATGAAAGCACATCTGGAGGATGACCAACAGATCAGAAGGTAGTTGAAGGTCACAACTGAAGAGCATCTGGGATGGGGAATAGCCAATACTCATATAGATAGCATTCCAATAGGCCAGTGAAAACAAAGAGGTAACTTCTTGCCCCAGTCCTGCTGGTTTCTGGAAACCATCAACCAGAGATTATTAAGGATGCTTGATTAAATCTGTGTACATGTCTTTCTTTCTGGACAGGAACAATGGGAATGGCCCAAGGACTTGCTAAAGGCTTTATAACATCACATCCTTGAATGTCCTTTAGAAGCTTTTTTGTCTGTTTCTTTTATTAATTGGTAGATGTCTTGGATATTGCTTGATCCCTCATATCAATGCTACATTATTCAAACTGTTTGGCGTACATCAGAAGATGTGCATGAGAAAACATCTCGGAATTTTCGAAAGGCACGTTCTTCAACACTTTTCTCTTCTTCATTTAGTTCTGCAATAAATGTGTTGTTTGACGACACATAAATTGGAGGTCTAATGGTTTATGTAATGCAGGTTACTGGAGTACATGCAGCAACCACTTTATCTTCCCTGATGACTTCTGCCGTATCACTTACATTAGCAGCTCTCACCAGGGTGAAGCTTCTCGATATGTCACGTGCACCAAGGCTACTTTTTTCGATCTGTTACACTGTTCTTAGGATATTCTATTATATTGTACCAGAAATGTCTGTTTTCAGCTACGGATCCAGGTAGTAAAAATTATGTTCTGGCAAGTACTATATTGTCTATTGATTGGTTCATGGATTTAACTCCTTTATTTTTTGTTCCAAACAAAGTTATGTCCTCAGAGGCAGAATGCAGTTCGTTATTTTGAAAGTTCAATCTTTTCAGATGATGGTTAACATTGTCTCCTGTGTCCTCCATTGATATGTCTCATGCTGAAAAGTCAATTACTGCCACCACTCACTGCAGAAATCTGAAGTGGGGCTTCAGAACTCTACAATAAGTGTTAAAATGGGGCTTCTCAGTATCTAGCAACCTTCAACTTATGAGATGACCACTAATTTATTTCCCTTACTTCTTGCTATGAGCTTTCTTAACTTCTGTATCTTGGGGTGTTCTGCAGTTTCTTCGTATGTGGCCTTCAGCACCAGCTCGAGCACTTTTAGATCGGTTTGTTGCCACTAAGGCATTGAGTTGCCTGGTTAAATTGTCTAAACAAGCTATCACTTGATCCACTGGCACCTGGTCTTAAGCAGCTCTGATTGGGTGGCTGTCTGTTTGAGGTGTTTGCTTGGTTGCCTTGAATTTCATGCCATACACTAGATAACTTTGTAGATCTTTGACATCTGCCATTTACAGGCCTTTCTGTATAGGGATCCTGTATGCCATCGACGGACTACTATAGGGACAGGATTTCCCTTGTTTCTGTTGGGCAGTCTAGAGAGCCAAGATGAGACAGCCTTTTAACATCTCTTTTGAGCTCCCAGAGTGTTTCCTTAGGCCTCTGTTGGTGAGATTTTAATTGAAGCTTGCTATAGTCTTTTAAACATACCTCGCCAAAGTTCAGCTAGAGCTTCAAAGTCTAGCCTCTGGTTTTCAGACAGGGTTTGAAGGATATCTGCTATGTCTGCTTCTAGAGAAACAGCGAGGCTGCAGTTCTCTTTTTTGGAATCCCATCCAGTTGCATTTGCCTTTGTAAAAAATTGGGTATTGTACACTTGCCGAGGAGGTCTTGGCATCATATTTGAATAGCTTTAGAGACATCATAGGTAGGAAAAGACAACATAGATAGGAATTTAAAGTTGTCAGAATTGTTTCCAGCTGTTAACTGTGAATTTCTTCAATCCTTAGAAATAGCTGAATTTCATCGATTTGTCTGTCAGCAGAAAGAACTCTTTCTTCTATTTGTTGTTCAACAACAGAAACTCTTTCTTTGATTTCTTCCTTATTTGATTTCTGCAACCTTTTTTTCAAAAAAGTCTATTCTGCCTTTCATAGCCTCAAATTTGTTTTCTAATTGTGGCAGTAATTTTTCTTTTCATTTTCTGTTAACTTGCCTCCTTTTTTTTCTTGCCTGCTTTCATTTCTGCTTTAACTGACTGAAAGGCTCCATCCATCTTTTCCTGGCCTGCTTTCAACTCTTTTTTTTTTAACTGACTTGATGGCTCCATCCATCTTTTCTTGGCCTGCATACATCTCTTCTTTAATGGACTGAATGGACTCTTGCATCTTTTCTTAAAAGCTGTCTTCCCAGTTATCTAAGTTTCTTCTCCATCACTCCTGTGACCGTCTCACTTCTAATGCCAAACATTGCTATGTGCGTACGATTTCTTAATAGTTTGAATGCACATGGTAGCTTGATGAAATTCCTAAAAGAAATGCTTTACAGTTTTGGAAATTTCCACAAAAGTATTCATACTGCCCTTCACAGTATGACAGAGCACAATCAGTAGTTACGACTTCAAAGTACCGAGAATGTTAAACACAAGACAGAGTAAAAAAAAAGTCTTAAATATATAAGCTCGCACAGTGATCTCTCAGTGCTATAAGCTAAACTCTGAACGAAACTAAACTGATGCCCTCACCGGACTTGCATATTTTTCTCCCATCTGCCAAGAAATTTCCAGTCCCTTCGATTTCTTGAAATTGCTTCAAGGCTGTTGTTAAATAGGTATGGAACCAAAATGTTGATGGTTACCAAGTTTGGTGACTTATGGCAACAAAAATTAGTCGACAAAACCATCATCAGCTTTGGTGTCAGGCATTTACCTCTGTGTTAGATAAACCCTGTATTTCCCAGCTGGAGTAGTTCCATATGTGAAGCTATGAGCCAGCATCACAATTTGTTTAGTGTAAAGACTGCTTCAAATAGTAGCACTTGTGGGTTTTTACCATTTCTACTTTAGCAGTTCCCTAACTAAAGTAGAAATGGATCATTTAATTGATGTAAAGCATACAAGTCTGTCTGTGTGCTTAATTAATATAAATAGTTGTAAATAGTATTCAAAATGTTTAATTTATTGATTGAACTTGAAACAAGTGTAAAATGGATCCAAATTTTTATATTTATATATTAAGAAATTTATTTAAAAGTAGCTTCTTGTTAACTTTTTTGCAGTAGACATCTTGATATAATGGATTTTTTAATGTATTAAAATTGCTTTACAGCTGCTGGTAAAGATAAAAAGGATGCAGAAACTGAAGAAAAATCTCTTGAAATGTCTATAAAGCACATGAAAGCTGACTTGGAGAAAAGAAAAGGCGAAAATAAAAAAGTAGACAAAAGCTATACTCAAGATCAAAATCTCTATCAGAATCTAGACACTCAAGTAAAGAAACTTAAAGTAAGTTTTTCACTTAACCCGCTCTTGACGGGCACCTCTGTTACCGAAGCGTTCTCTTGGAACGATGTGTTAACTGGATGCGTCGTCCTATGGGGACGGGCAATTTACGCTGCTAAGCCTAACTTTGGAAAAAAATTCATATAAATGAAATTTATCATCCAATTTTTCCAATTTTGGGTACATTATAAGAAGAACATTCTGGTAGTCGTCAGAAATAATTTTAAGCCTTTATTATTATATTTTCCTTAAAAATTTTATATAAATACCCTTCTAGGAATAATATAATTTGCCTTATCCCACAAATAAATATATAATGCAAAAATATCCCAACCAATCCCAGATTTATTTAACACAACACACAATTAAAATTTAAAAATATTAAAACTGTCTTTCATAAAATCAACAGCAAAACACGAAAAGTAATCAATTTTCAAACATGAACTGTATGTTATTTTTTTAACGGGTGTAAGCAAGTCCAAAGCCAGCATTGCTATTACAGGAATGTAATATCTGCGCTTATTTTACACATCAAATTTGATCATTTAGTATTTGTATAGCTCTACGGTCAGATAGTGCTATTTTTGCCATAAAAAAAAAAAAAAAAAAAATCCTTTTGCAAAGATACAAATATGTGTCTCAATGCCAGAAAACTCAGAGAAATAAAAGTCTTAATGATAGAACTCTACTCCTCTGTATCCGAGAAAAAAATAAAATAAAAATAAGATAAATTAATAAATTACATTAAAAAATTCAGAGCATGGAGAACATATTCATTTGTGATATAATTGGACCCTGGTAGAGCCATTACTTCTCAACACTATCGAATAAGCGATTGTGTATATTCTAGTTTAGATACTGCTTTTGTTTGCATTAAAAAAAGATACGTTGCGCGACCATTAAAAATATTCATCTCAAGGCATGAAAATTAAGAGGTAATAAAAAAAGGGTGGGGTAATGGTTTTAATAATATAAGAGTAATAAAAAAATCTCTAATGATTATGAATGTCTATCCCACCTATCGCAAAATAAATAAAAAATACCTCAATGCAGTGAAGAGCAATTTGCATTTGTTTTATTCAAATGAGGCAGTTAAAGAGACATTCCATTGCCTTCCTATGACCTTTCGATATTATCTCGCGCTCATTCCGAAACAATAGATACCAAAATAAAAATTATTGCATAAGAATGAGGTAAACATACTTAACTTTCGATATATTTCCCATAAACAGGCATACGGCTACAATCTAGTGGCAACAAAAATATTAATTAAATGGTCTATCTAAAAAGTCAAATGTAGTACGCCGGCCGGTAGAGTGAATTAAATGGCAATTCAAATATGACACACCCGGCCGTGAGGTAATGTTCGCTGCTGATGCACATATGACACGCCCGTACTGAATGGGTTAAAGCAAGTTTTCTAATTTACCTCAAATGAATTTTATGAGATCTACAGGGATATTACACAATTCCCATAATTTTTTATATTGGGCTATTCAGTATAATGGATCATAAATTAGTTTAATTTTGTGATAAATTAATATTTTGAAATAAATTTTGTGAGGTCAGTCATATAGAAACGGAACTAATAAGCATTTTTTTCCTGTTAAATATTTCCTTAAAAAAAAAAATCTAGATGTGTTTTCCAATGGAAACTTAATGGAAAATTAAATAAAAGTCTTGTTAATATGCTGTCTCAATTAATACATGAATTGAAGAGCTTTTATGCTTTTTTACAGGCTGACATTGCAAAGCTTGGATATCAAGAAGGCAAATATGAAAATTTGATTGCTCAAGAAAAGAAACTGTTGATGGAAGTTGATAAACTTAAAGATGAATTAGATATGATTTTTGCAAAGTAATGTTTTTTCATTTTTAATTTTGCTTTACAGAAAAGAGATTTTTTTTAAAACTGTATAATTTAATTTTTGAAAACTTAAAGATGAACATGATTTTTGCAAAATAATGTTTCTTCATTTTTAATTTTCCTTAACAGAAAAGATACATTTTAATTGCATAATTTAATTTTTGAATTTTTTATTGTAGTTTTCCGCAATTAACCTTTGAATATATGGATCCTGTGAAGAATTTTGATCGGAGGAAAGTCAGAGGACCAGCTTGTTTACAGCTTGAATTAAAAGACCGTAAAGATGCAGTTGCGCTTGAAGTAACAGCTGGGGGCAAAGTATGATTAATAAAAATTATTCTATTTTCTTTTTATATTTTTATGAATACTTGAAAAAA